ACCAGATTTAGACCACTGGGATTAAACCAAGGAGTAAGAGTAGGCCAATGCCAACTGCTCTTAATGTCATCATCTGTGGAGCAGAGATTCTTAATGCTTACCTCAGAAAGCATTCAGCCAAAGTACTCTTAACTTTGAGAAGAGACCAAGAAGGCAGAACAGTCTTAATGCTCATTAAAGTTTTCACAGCAAAAGGTACAGGTTACCTTAACCACACACTCATAGTAATCCCATGCCTGTATTTGGCATTCCTAAATAGAAAGTGGTTATTCTCAACTCTTCAGTTTTCGGAACACTTTACTCTTACAACTTTCCTGAATGTTAAAACCCTGCAGCTGAAGTGATTTGTTCAGTACTTTTTACATTCTTCTGGCAGTACCACAGAGTTATAAACGATACAGATGTTTCACAGAATCACAGTAAAACTGTCAGCTAGGAGTGACCTCTGGCAGTCACCTGGCCCAGCCCCAGCAGGGCCAGCGCTGCTGGCAGAGCAGGCTGCTCAGGGCCTCGCACAGTCGGATTTTAAGCATCTCCAGGGACGAGGAGCCCGTAACCCCTCTGGGCCTTGTTCCAGTATTCGACCACCCTCACTGTGAGAATTTTTCTTCCTAATGTCTAATTTTCCATGTTGCAGCTTCTGTCTTTTACCCTTCATCCATATGATAATTCTTCAAGTAGACAACTGCTAGTCTAGCACGCTGTGACAGAAAGCCAAGCTCACATGGCTTTACCTGCATCCGAAAGTCTGAAAGCATCACTCCTGCTTTGCTACGTACCACAGTTCAAGAGCATCTACTGCACTTTAGAATCAGGGTAGCAAACAGTTTGGCTCTCAAAAATCCCTTCTTATTGTCTCCCCTTACAGATATGGTGGTAGAGTTTAATCTTAATAGAAGTAAAGGTCTTTTTATATAAAATTTCATGAAGTCTATCACCCACATTATTTATTGATTATACGACTTATGCTTTAAATAGAGCTTTTGTGTTACTTAGTTACAACGTACAAAACGGCAACCAGAGTCAGTGTCTGCTAGCTTACAGCAGCGTTAATTGGCAAAAGAAATGGACTTGTGCAGTACTTCTGACTGAATAAACGTACAGGTCTCACGAACTTTAAGCCTCCTTGGTCCACAAGGCTCTCTGCTGCACAAAACTGACTTTAACGCTTAACCTAAAACCTCTTGCTGAGCAGCAGGATCAGAAGGGTACCGACCGGCTGACATGCTTAAGCGTGACCAAGGTGCTCTCTGGTGGTTGCTGCCTACAAGGATTACTCGGTAGGGGGGACAGCAAGGGGGGGGGAGAAGAAAAAAAAAGGAGGGGTCGGGGAAAGAGAGCAAAAAGCCTTAGTTTTAGCATAAACAAACTGATATGCTTTGTGGAGAGGGGGAAAAAAAGAAAAAAGCAATCCTCACATCCTTCTTCTGAATGTCTGCTCTCCCTAGCTGTTCAGACATCCTGCGCTAGTCCAGCACAAACATTTACATTGCAACAACTTAACTGATGATAAACCGCTGGAGCGGGGGGGAGA